TGTCAGAGGAAAAAAACTAGACAAATAAGAATTTTGGAGCAAATGCTTATAACCCCACATTAATCCAATGTATATCAATTAACGTTGATACAATATTTATAACAAAACGTTAATTCGATGTGCATGGGTTGACGTTGGATTATACACATTGAATAAACGTTGATCCATTTACACTGGAACAACGTTTATTTTATTCAGTGGACCAACGTTGTGTTTGCATCGAGAAAAAGTAGACATACACTTATATATTTGTGTAAAATATAACGTTGAATCAGCTTAAAATGCAACACTTCGCCAACGTAAAATACAAATTTGAATCAACGTAAAATATTACGCGATGCCGACTTAAAATACAATGTTGGGTCATGGTTGTTTTTTGGTTGTTGACTTTGCTTTTGTTACCAAAATGAGATAAAAATAATATTGGCGCCAACGCAAACTTGTTCTAAACTTTTTATCAACGCATGTGTGCTAGCTGGGAAGTTCTAATTTTAAATAAAATATAATAGTTTTTGTTTTCGTAATTTTGAAAAAAATTAAAATGATCTAAATGGAAGTTCTAATTTTAAATAAAATATAATAAAGTTTTTGTTTAGATTGCTGACTTTGTTTATCTTGCCCCGAGGACCACGACTATGGAAATCGATCCTTAAAGAAGAAATTAAAAACATGTAGTCATTAAACTCCTTTAAGGCAGCAGTCAAATAGTATTAATTTGATTTCGACATAATTATTATACTATAGAACAAATAGTTTTGTTTTATACTCATTTACGAGATCGTTTCGTGTATGCATATACGAAAAAATCTCGTAAATGAGTATCCATGGATTTGTTTTAAATCTTTTATTTTTGTTTTTAATTTACTTAAGAATTTTAATCTAAAACTATTTTTTTAATCTCATGTGAAAACTTATTGTTAAGTTGCGAATGAAAGTCTTAAACGATGACTGCAGGGTTCTACTTGCTCCTGATTGGTTGTATTATTCTAAAAAAAAAAAAAATTTTTTTTTAATTTTGTCAATGAATAAATCAATTTACATGACAATTTTCAAAAACCTGATTGTCAAAAGGAATAGTCCATAAATTACGCAACACAAAAAATATTTTAAACGCAGAAGTAAGAGATATTAAACTCTTTTATGCGGCGATTTTCATTTAACTTAATTTACTATTTTATTTATTTATTTAAATTAAGACTCTGCGAGGGAAAATTTATGATCTTTTTTTGCTGTTTCAAACGCTATAGAATATTGTTTTAATTGGACGCAATCATCAAAAAAAGAAAAGTAATGAAAAGTGGAAATCCATTTTAATTTATTTGATTTTTGAAATATATCTTGAAGATTTAACTCAGTACAATTTTATCTGAACATATTCTTTGAAGAATGTGTTCAGATAAAATTATAGAAATTTGAAATTTTGGGCTACTCTTAGAAACAACGTGATAAAAATCTCAGCTTTGTTAATCAGGGCCCACGACACGGGTTTCGAAATGGGGAGGGGAGACAAAATCGTCAAATCTTAAAAAAAGTCTTCTATATCTAAAATTTTCTTTAAAAGAAAAAAAAAAGGTCCTTTAGAAAAAAAGTGTGTGTATGGGGAGGGAGCACAGGCTACCCCGCCCCCCCCCCCCCCTCCTGGTGTCGTCGGCAGCTTTTCTGATTAGATCCTGATTAAAAGCAATTCATTTAAAAATTGCTCTTAATTCATCTACAGGTGCTTTACCATGACTAGTTGCACTGTAGTTCCATTTTATACCAATTCCAAAATTTTTTTTGGAGAGCTTTATAATAAATCCATTTTTTTTGGAGAGCTTTATAATAAATTCATTTTTAAACTGACTTAAAGGGCAATCTCTCCAAACTCTTAACTCAAAAACTTCTTTTGGTAGGATTTGAATCAATTTATCAAGAATTACTAATGATGTTTCTATATCATGAATTGTAGAATTACTAACAACTGCATGACATATTTCATATTTTTGAACCCCGTTACAGAAGTAAAAATAGTTATTTTCTGTTGATTCCAGTATGCATTTTGAACTTCGTCTTGTGAAAAGCATTTATAGTTTTCAGTCGGAGAGCATTTTTTTGTTAAAGAATTATATTTTGATGATATATGCAAATGTATACATTTAATTTATAAATGTATACTGGCTTTGTCGACTAAGATATGTAAAGGTCTTAAACTTGCAAATTTACTTACGCCAATCTTTATGCTCATGTACATGTGCCGTTTTTGAATATAATTTTTTTACCCATTATTTTTCTTTTGTGCAAATCTGTCTTTTTGTCCGGGAGACATGCGGCTGATATCATCATTTTCATAAAAATTAACAACTTTATTCTTGATTTCTTCATTTAAGGAAGTAACTTCTCATAAACAATTAGAACATTCTACAATGTTGCTATGTAGTTTAGAGGCTAATTTTAAAACAACTGCTTTTTGCTTTGATGGGTTATTGGGTTACATTAGTTTTACTTTATTTACAGGCCTTGAAAGAGAAGGTGTACTATATGGTTTCTTGTAGCAAATAATTTCATTTTTTTTTAGTTGCTTTTTTCTATTAAGCTTTTTTTTTCTTTTCATTAATCTTTCTTTTTATATCAACTTTTTGCTTTTTATGTTTTGGTAACTTTGAGTATTCGTCTCATTTTTTTATTCGGTGTTTTTTAACATACTCTTTATTTTTACCTTTGTTAAAACAAGATTAATCCTTCCCCATTTACTTTGCCTTTTAGCATTAGTTTGAGCCATTAGTTTATAATAGGATCTGAAATAAAAAAAATAGTGACTGGTAATAAGTGATAATTATTGAAAAACAATGACTGGTAATAAGTTATGGTTAACAAAAATATTGGAAATTGTAAATTTGATTTTTTTTTAAACTATTGAAAAAAAGTTCTATAACATTTATAAAAAACATTGAAACATATGGTTTATGGAAATTCAGGAATAACTTTGTATATAAATTCATAATTTCTATAAAAAAGCAAAAAAAAATTCTATAGAAAAATAAGTTAAACATTTCTATAGAAAATGCTTTATATAGAAACATATGTTTTAAATCGTATGTTTCAAAAGTTTAAAAAAACTTTAAAGAACTTTTTGTTATTTGTTTTGTCATTAAATTTAACTTAACCCAAAATTAAATTGTAAAGCATATGTTTTGTTGCATTATTATTTATTTTTAGTAAAATTAGCTTACATAAAGTTAATTTATAACTTTTATAGGCAAAAATGAACTTTTGCCTATAAAAGTTATAAATTAAAATTACATTGTAAAGTAATTTACAAAAAAATGTTGCAATTTGTATAACTAAACTTAGTTTTAATATTTACTTAGAAAAGTAGTTTTTCTTATTAAGTTTACATTAATAACTTTTTTTTTTTGTTTTGTTAAAAAAAACAAATTATGAAAGTTATTTATGGAATCTCAAGTTTTAAAAAATGTAAGATTGCTCAACAATTTTCAAAAAAACTACATTTTAAAAACAAGCTTAGCGTGGCTAAGACACGCTATACTAGCTATAGACTACAAATAAAGGTAGCTTATCTCAATGTTTCGTGTTGCTTATCTCGATGTTTTGAAGTGGGGGGTACAATCATCAATTTGTAAAAAAGTCCTCTATATCTTAAAAAACAATTCTTTAAAAAATCTTTTCTTAAAAAAAAAAAAAAGGTCCTCTAGAAAAAAAGTGGGGAGGGGGGGCACGTGCTCCCTGGCCCCCCCGTGTCGTCGGCCCTGACATATAGAAAAAAACTTTTCTTCTATATATAGAAAAACGTTTTTGATAGTAGTTTGAAAAAAAATTATTTGAATTTTTATGTTTTTATAATGAAATTATGTAATTTTACTAATTTATTTAATTTACTTACTAGCTTTAATTTGTATTGTATTTTAGTTTTAAATGTATTAACTTTTGCATTTTTAATTTATTTTTAAGAGGCTTGACAAAAAGGCTGAATTCGTTTTGTATATTTTGTACTCTTTTCTTAACGGCAGAAGATGTAATAATTAACAATATATTCTTTTGAATTATTTAGAGTTGAGTGTTCAATCATATATCTATAATAATCATATATGAATTAATTTAAAGAAATTGATTTATGTATGATCATTAAGAAATTGATTTATGTATGGTTATTAAGAAATTGATTTATGTATGATTATTATGGGCATATTGATTGAAAAAGTCGGAATTCCGCAATTCCATATTTAAGCCACAAACGAAAAAACTGATTTTCGGGCATCCCTGGTTTGGAATATTAAAATCTCGCTCGGAAATACGCAATAGGGTACCGGAAAACAATAGAACAAAAAGCTTTTTTTAAATGTAGTAATGAGCAACTTTTTCTTGCAACTTAACTTGAAATTTACAAATTACAATTTTGCTTCTCTTTACTTTACGGAATATTTAAATACTTATGTTAAATGTTTAAATGAGAGTTAAGTTCCGTTTTTTATTCTTCCTCATTGTGTTTCAATGAATTCAAACAAACTTTGATTTTAACTTTTTTTGAGATTTAATATTTTGTTAAAACTCTTTTCTTTGTTATTATAAGTATAGTTAAAATAAATTTCAAATCTTTTATAAATATATTGATAGCTGGTGTGTGTGTGTGTGTGTGTGTGTGTTTATGTGTGTGTTAGTGTGTGTTAGTGTGTGTGGTTTGTGTGTGTGTGTGGTTTGTGTGTGTGTGTGTGTGTGTGTGTGTGTGTGTGTGTGTGTGTGTGTGTGTGTGTGTGTGTGTGTGTGTGTGTGTGTGTGTGTGTGTGTTAATATATAAAAGAGCTTTAGCTCTTTTATATATTAACACACACACGCACACACACTTTTATTTTATTTGTTATAAAGAAAATGCTTTAAATTATTTTTTATATTTACAACATTTTTTTTTTCTTGTATATTTTGTTATTGCCTAAGCTCTAAATTTTAAGTCTTAAAACTCTCTATTTTACACAACCTTTGATTGTTTTAATGCTTAAATAAAATCATTATAGATGCTTTTTCTTATTTAGGTAATAAGTCAGTTTCGACAAGTCAAAAATTAGATTTCTCAGGAATTAAAAGCTTTTAGGAAAATCATTTTACATTAAATTGCTTGCTTAAAATCGCATCTTAAAAATCTTAAAGATTTAATCAAATGAATCCAGAAATAAAAAAGAAAACCTCTAATAACTCAACTGGACATTATATGAATTCATCAGGACATATCCCATTAAAAACCTCAACTCATCCACCTTGTACTGTTGCATCAATACAACCATATGGCATTTCACCATCTATTCAACATAAATCTTTAGTTCATAATCCTCCTATTGTACTTTCCCCAAAAACTATTAGGAATGATAGATCTCAAGCTGCTTATGAACCTGAAATAGGACTGGTGCAAAAAAATAGAAACAATTCATCTGCCTATCCGTCTCCACACCAAACGCAAAAAACATTTTACATTAATTCTGCACCAAATACAACTCATGGTATTAATTCAGAGCGTCAAAAAATTGAAGATGAAATATTATTATGTCAACGAGAATTGGATTCATGTTGGCAAGAAGATGTATTTGACTGCCCAAGGGTGAGTTTTGAGTTTGTTATGTATATGCACTTTTTAACACAAAAAAAAGAGGCATTTTTTTCTTAAAGTTATTTTTTCAAATATTTTGTTTTTACATATTAAAATTTTCATTAAAAGTTAAATCTTTCTTAGTGGTGATCTATAAATTAAAATTAAGTTTATATATGTTTGTGGCAGTCAGCAGCTATTAAAGGAGATTTTACTTTTGCTATTTATTTTGTTGTAGCTATTTAAGTGCACTTTAAATTACTAAATTTAAATATGAGTTTTTAGTATAACAATCATTTGCCTTAAATTATAAAATATTTGCTTTAAAGTCAAGCAGTTTAAAACTCAGTTTTCATAGCTAATGGACATATCTTATTTGTTTATAATGATGTAATGATCCACCAGGCTTTGAGTAGAGCTTGGTTTGATAATGCTCTTGTAATAATATTGATGAAACCTAGTTATTTGAGAGAAAAGTTGTGTGTAAATCAAAGTTTTCAGAATAGGTAGTTGTCTTCATTAGGTTGTTTTGTTTAATAAATGTTAGCTGATTTTATAGTAAGCTCAATATGCAGATTGTGAAAAAACAATTAATTTGATCAAAAGATAATAAAGTTGATGAGTTTCAGAGCTAATGATTAAATTGTTCATCGATAGATTTAAATTATTTTTTACTCATTGGAAGATATTTGGCAATTTTATTACACTTAACATGCAATATATTTCATGTAGCGGCTAAATATTTAACAAAATAATAATTTACTTAATAAAATAATAATAATAATTTGAATTCAAAGTATTAAAACTAGAATCAGATAAAATTTCTGATTCAGATGAAGAAATTTAATAAAGAGTTTTGGATAATTTTTTATTTATAAAAAATAATTTAAATCAAAAATTTACACGAATCCTCACCTGAAAATTAGTTTGTTCAACATACCAATTTACACGAATCCTGAATTTTTACCTGAAATTTACCTGAAAATTTGTTCAACCAATGTTACCATGTTATTAGTATATACAACAAATATAACCAAAATAAAAATTTTTTAAAGCAAAAAAAATTAATAAACAAAAAACTTAAAAATAAAAAAAAAAAAAAAAAAAAAAAAAAATTTTTAAAAACAAACAAAAAATATGGATAGCAATTTAAGGCCTTAGAATGGAAAAAGAACATTAATGCTAATGTGTAAACATAATTAGTAAAATGCTGTTAAAGTTCTCAGATTTATATCTAATTTAAATGTTTTAATCTATTATTTTTAATTAAAATTAATAATAAAATGATGCTTTAAGTCTATTGATCTAAGACTCATTATCAAGCCCTCCCGGGAAGTGTGTACGGATGCGTGCCTTGTTCATCCACATACTAAGTAATTTATTTAAACACACATTTTTTAACTTTTAAAGTGTTTCAATAGTTTATGTCGAAAAGTTAAACTTATTTACTGAGAAAAAAGAAACCAACACTAAAAAAGGAAACAAAATTGAAACAAAATATCAAATTTTAAATAAATTAACTATAAAAATTTAATTAAGGCGTTGTCCAAAAATTACATCACTCAATTTTTGATCATTTTAAAGCTATCTACCCCCCCTCCTTGTCACAACATGTTTACTCGTTTTCATGTTTTTTAGCTTTTAAAAATGTTTTAAAAATGCTATATTTGACGTTTTTTCTCAATACTTATATTATAGGAAAATCAGAAAATAAATTGATATTTATTTGTAAAATATGTTATTTGGTTAATAGTTTTGTAATGACAATAGAAATTAAATAAAAGGATAATATGGTTATAAATTGTTTCCAATATTTGTTTTTCTCTGAAGTTGTTTTTTATATCGCCCAACTTTCAACGTTAAGATAAAATAATAGAGATAATGAACATCAGGGGTTTCTCCAAGGATGACTGAAATTAAAAAAAAATGCCTGTCAGTAGCCCGGCAGGACGACCAGACAGTTTGTTGCTTACGAAAGTGTGTTTATTGATAAAACTATATTTGATCTATAAAAATTTTATTCCCTGCAATTATTTAAAAGAAAACTTTAAAAAGCATTTGAAGCAGTATACACTTTGTTTAACAATGAGTACACTATTGTGCATTATATAATTTTAGTAAACTTAATAAAAAGAAGCTAACATGCGATTTAATATGTCAAAGTACAACTGTACTGTTTTTTTAAACATTGTTGTTGCATTTGAAGCAGGCTTCTTCTCATTTTAAAATGAGTTTAAAAATAACTTTTTCTTTCATTTCCAAATACTATTGTATAAATTTTTAACCTTATAGTCCCATTTTGAGTCTTGTGTTAAATCATTAATTGCACTTTATTAAACAAAATTAACAAAATAAAAAACATTAAGATGCACATAAAAATCATTATTAGAACGCAATTAATGATGCAAGTGGAAAAAAAATTTTTTTCTTAAAAATTTTTTTTATTACAATGGAAAATATTCAAAACATTAAGAAAATGTTTTAAATATTCAACTAAATTAAATTTGATTGAAGATTGAGAGAGAATAATAGAATATTTTTCTATATGTAAAACGTTTCTTTGCTGTTTGGCTTTCAGCATTTTTGCTCCACAAAATGAAATCTTTGTTAAGATTGACAAAAATGATACAATACAGATATCGACTATGACCAAAATGACAACATTTAATTAATTTAAATGTTGTCATTTTTCAAAAAATGACAATCTTTAATTAATTTAAATAATAAATAAATTAATTTACTTTAAAATAAATTGGGCTACTGATTATCATAGCAGGCGCTTCAAATGAGAAACAAAAACTGTTTAAGTTGCCCTGCGGACGACTGGGAAAAAATCGGAGTTTACATCGCTGAACATGGTTGCTCTGTTTGAAAAATTGTTAAAAACTTAAAAAATATTTTAAAAACTTAAAAAGTATTTTAGATAAGCTCCTAAAACTTTTGTTAAAAAATAAAAAGTTAACAATACTAGTTAAAAAGTTAGCAATAGTAGTTAAAATAGTAAATTAATAATACACAAGCCTACCATCTTTTAGAGCGTCGATATCAAAAGTTTATCAGAAATAAACTATCAGGTTCAAATGCACAATTTGAAGAATCCAACAAAAATGCAGCCTATTTCAATGGAGTAGTGAAAACAACTAATTATATTATTTATTATTTTACATGAGAAACTTGTTAAAAATTTAAAAATAAAAATTTTACAAATAAATAACAATTAGTTTTTTTGCTCTCCTATGCATTGATAAAAGCAGTAAAATTAAGCAAAAATATTTGAAAAACAAATTTTAAAATTGTCCATATTTCTAGCACAAATATAAAGTACTTCCTTAATATACTGACTAAAAAAGTGCAAAAAAATTATATATACAGACTTGGTCGGGAAGCAGGTGCGATCATACTCAATAATTGACCACAGAAATAATATTTAGTTGTGAAAAACCTGCCAGATTTTTTAGTCGTTTTGAGAATATTTAAAAAACAAACAAAAAAGCGCAATAAGATTAACTGGACCGATAAGAGACAGTTAAAAAAAGAAAAATAGCTTTTAACGCGAATAAACTTTAGTCAAAATAAATACGATTAGAGCAAGTATTTTTGAAATGCCGCTCTTTTATATTTTTTTTTATAAAATTAAGTGACATCTATTATATAAAGTAACAACTTACTATTAATGATTGTTTAATAAGAAAACAAATGTTTTTCGAGTTAACAAAGAGTATATATAATTTTTATTTATATACTTGTGTCTTATTTCCAGTACTAATTTGAAGAGGTGGGGGGAGGATTAGAAGGGCTATAGTCTCAGGACTCACAATGTTAGGGGGCGTGAAATAGTCAAGAGGACCATTCAGTATTTTTTTTAGTCATGTTTATGCTGTGGCACATAAAAAAGACTACCTAAATAATGCAGCACCCGGCCCTGAAAAATCCAACAAGGTTCAACCAATAAAACTAACGCTAGATGATTTATTTATAAATAAAAAAGTTTTTTTAATAACTGTTTTATGCTTTGCGTAGTTTGAAAAGTTTAACACATTTGAAACAATTCTTCTTAGTAACATAAACAAATGAAATAATTAAATCATTGAGATACTGTAGAAATTCAATTAGCTAGATAGAAATTAACTAAAAACATTAAATTACTTTAGGAGGAGGAAGTGGAACTGCTTCACAATACTGCTTATAATTTTGATTAGTATCTAAAACAGAAAAAGTAACTTTAAGTTTAAGTATAACAAGTTTGTAAGAACGGCTGAAGCAAAAACAATTGAAGTTAGTAAACCAATTTCTAAGAACTTAAAAACTTTTCTTTCTTGGGAGAAAGAATCAGTTATCGGGTACACAAGGTAAATGGATTAGTGGTTAAAGTTTTTTTGTATTAACTTTGATGATTATTAATTATTTCATTTAAAACTTAGTTATTATTTAAAGTATTTTTGTTTACAAAATCAATCGCACAATTGCTTTAAAAGATTACATTTGAATAAAATATACATACCTAAAATTACATACGTTAAAAATTCATACATAAAAATACATTACATACATAAAAAATACATCCCTTATATATAAAAAATAAGAAAATACTAATAAGATCTATAATATATTTACAAGACTTTGACAAGTTAAAAAATATAAACTTAAAACATTTATTTTTGTAAACAAATAATGTTAGTTTAAAACATTTATAGCTTTGTAGATGTGACTCCGAGAATGAGCCATAGTATTAAAAAAATAGTTTGTTTGATAGTATATTTTTAAAACAATTTAAGCTAGAAATCTCAACGAAAACATAACAAAGCTCAAATAATACAACTTTTTAATTTGTTTCAACAGAATACTCTAGAACATTCGGTTAGTATTTTTTGAACAAATTCAGTTATTATTAAACCAATTCGGTTAGTATTTTTTGAACCAATAGAATTAGTTGTTCGTAGATTTAGTGGAATTTTTGTATTCGCAAATATTCTTTTTTTATTTTTCCGCACAGAGCATAGAGTTTATGTATGTTTCTATGTAAAACAAAATTTACATTAAAATATTGATTATTTTGCGGACAAACAAAGAAACATACATAAACTTAAATGTTCTCAAAACAACTAAAAAATCTGGTCGGTGTTTTGTAACTAAATATTATTCCCATGGTCAGTTATCAAGTGTGATCGCACCCGCTTCCTGACCATGCCTGTATATATATATAGTGCTCCAAAAACTCTTATTCGTCTAGTTTTTTTCCTCGAACATCAGTTCTTTGGAATTGGGTTCCTTAATTTTGCTTTCCTGATTCATATAATTTGCAATCTTTTAAGTTGTCTGTCAATCGTTATCTTGCTCTACAATCTTCATCTTTTCTCTTCCTGTAACTTCCAACTCTAATTAGTGATTGCTTGCGGGAAACAATGTAAAAAAAAAAAATCAAAAATACTTTTGTTTTCATTATATTCTTAACTGCTTTTTTTCTTGATTTGCATCAATTTTGGTAATGGAAAATAAAAAACGCATTTTGTGGAACACAAATGTCTTCTGATTTTAAAAAATTAAGCAATGCTCATTGAGTTTTTTTTTTATGGAGCACAACTGTCTGATCAAAGAATGATTTTATTGATATAAGGACTAGGGAACGAAAAATTGCTGTCAATTGCCGCAAAAACTGCGAATAACCACAAAACCTGACAATCACCACACTGAAAACCGCTAACCGGCAATCACCCCAAACCTCTCCCACTATCACCACCAATGCATCACCGCGGACCACAATCACCGACCATCACTGCAGAAGTCCGATCACCGCAAATGGTTGGTTTTTCGTTACCTAGTAAGGACTGTCTTTTACTACTTTTTAAAATGTTTTAACATCTGCACTAGCAATATCATTGCCAGATTTATTGTGGTTTCTAACCATTTCTAGTTTTTTTTAAAATATATGTTTCTTGACATTTTGACCTTTGAATGGTGATTTTGGTACAAAAGTTCTTGGATTTTGAATTTTTTCATGAAAGTAATATATTTATTATTGATTGATGCTCAATGTGCCACAAAAAAATTCTTTACAAACTTGTATATGTGTATTGTCAAGTTCTAATATTTGTACATGTGTGGTTTCTCGCTCTTTTCTTTGTGTTTTTGCTTCCAAAATGGATCATCTCTAATTGTGTAATTACTATAAAATTATGTATATATATATATATATATATATATATATATATATACACACATATATATATATATATATATATATATATATATATATATATATATATATATATATATATATATATATATATATATATATATAGTTACAACATTTTAACTACAAGTTTAGTGTTATAATTATATTCTATATTATATTTTACCAACTTAATTATCACTTAATTAAGTATAGGTAAAATTTAGATAAAAATCTGATAGATAAAATTTTTATTTTGATATTTTATACAGTAGTAAAAGAGAGTAGTAAAAAGAGTTTTCGAACAATATTACCTTAAAGTTAGAACCCCAAGTTCCATTTATTTATAAGGGAGAGAGGGCAATATTACATTTTAAGAAAACTCTACTATTTTGAACGCAACTATAATTTCTTTGTATTGTTTGTAATTAGTATTTAATTAATAATAAATAATTCTATTTTAATGTTCAAAAGTAATGACCTTGTAAAGTTGACAACCCCTCGAATAAAGGGTGTTTTCTTGATCGCCATTTTTAAACTATAATAAATTGTTATAAAATTTATATAAAATAAATAAATTTTTCTGATGAATTTTGATCTAGTTAAAGACACAAAGTCTTTTCTTTTCTTGCACATTTGGGATAATGGGACCCAATGTTTTAGGGTAATAGTGGTAAAGTTTTTATTTCACACTAGTATTAATATTACAAAATATAAGCTTTGGAAGTTATCTATCTTAAACGCCAAAAATCTATGACTGCCCATTTGAGTTAAATGGGCAGTCATAGCTTTTTTTTAAGAGTTCAACAGTCATAGCTTTTTTTTAAGAGTTCAACAGAATATTTTCAAAATTATATTTGTACAATCTGGCTTAAAAAATGTAAAGCATTTCTGGTAGATGTTTTTTTTTTTTTTTAAATAGATTATTTCTGCTGAGGTTTTAATTCATATGTAATATTTTTTCGAAAAACCATTATGTTATTTTTTCTATTTCATTATATACAAGTTATAACAAACTATTTTGATTCAAACAATTGATAAATTTAAATTTTTTTGATTATACATCAAATGTTTCTGTTTATACCAACTTTTTGAATTATGATTATTTTTTATTGTTTAGAATTTTTATAGTTAGTTGCAAGTTACAATTAGTTTAAAATTAGTTTCTCAACTTATCATGAGTGACTGTTGATTTGATGTGGAATTAGAAACATACCAGAACCAAATGAGATACCATTCTTTGTTTAACAGACTCGTTTTATTCTTATAAAAATAAGTGCCTAAAAGAAAGATTTGTTGTTTAGGTATTTAATTAATAAGAAGAAAGTTGTGATTTTTATTTTTTACTTGTCACAGGATTTCACTGCAATAGATCGCCGAAGAGAAGAGTTCTATGCAGAACAATCAAATGTCTATTCATGTTCTTCTCCACCACATGACCAGGTAGTTTTTATAAAATATTATTTGTTCTTCTCCACCACATGACCAGGTAGTTTTTATAAAATATTATTTGTTCTTCTCCACCACATGACCAGGTAGTTTTTATAAAATATTATTTGTTCTTCTCCACCACATGACCAGGTAGTTTTTATAAAATATTATTTAGTTAAATATGCTGTAAATTAATTGTTTTAACTTTTTGTCAACAAAATAATTGTAGATTAATTGTTAGGTTAATTTTAAACTTACAATGAACACAATCGTTGCTTGTAGGTATTCGAACCTCTAGAAGATTATTTAGGAAAAAGTGTTTCAACTGAAGATATTTGCTTATCTCCCCCATGGGTAGATGAAGAAGAAACTATGAAAGTTCATCAGAGGCATTTATTTAATATGTCAAATAAATCTTACCATCAAACACATCATGAAACTATGCAGCAGAAACAGCTACTGCAGCAAAGACAAGATCAACCCAAACCCAATGAAAATCAGCAATATGCTGTAATGCCTTTTTTTTTAATGAAGTGACTATAGTCTTTTTGTTTTTTAATTATAAATTTAATGCTTGCTTTTTATAAACTTTTTTAAAACTTTATTTAAGTCAACTAAATATGGTGGGATTTGTGAATCAAAAAATCAATTACAGAATGGAAATTTTTCAGCAGTTAATCAATACAGTTTAAAGGCTCCAAACATACCTGTTTCATCTGCTTTATTTACAAAGTCCAAAGTTCAAGCTGTTTCTCCTCAGCCTCGTAACCAAAAGAAAGTTAATATTGACAATGTTGTCCGACATATTTCTTATACGGAAGGACAAGAGTCACCCAAGGTTATTATGTTATGTAATGTAAATATGTATAAAGTTATATGTATGTGTGTGTGTGTGTGTGTCTGTAGAGCTATATATATATATATATATATATATATATATATATATATATATATATATATATATATATATATATATATATATGTATATATATATATATATATATATATATATACATAATTATACACAATTTTTTTATATATCTTATTATTATATAATTTTATATATTGTGTGTGTGTGTGTGTGTGTCTGTGTAGAGCTATATATATATATATATATATATATATATATATATATATATATATATATATATATATATATATATATATATATATATATATATATATATATATATATATAATTATACACAATTTTTTTATATATAATAACTTAGGCTTTTAAATATTTATTGTCGCTTTATATTACTTTCATAAAACTTGTACATCACCTGCAGGATTTTTCATTGTCATCATGGCCAAAATCTGAAATGAGTTCACGAATACCGTCCTCAGAAAGAATTAATCTTTCACCACTGTGTATGTCTGCATTAGCATCAGTAAGTGATATTTTTGGTAAAACTTGTAATTTATTTAAACAGTTGTTAAAAAAGATTTATTAAAAAAATATTTTTGTTCGATTTGTATTTAAGGGTACACAAACGCCAGTTGAGTATGAAGAGAATGTTTTTCCGAAAAAGAGCACAACTGATAAAGATAAACTCTCTGTAAAATCTAACATAAAACCTGTTTCACAGCAGGCTGAAAAGAGACCTCTTGACAATTACAAAGATAGTGACGCTTTAAAATATGCTCATCATGCTGTTCCTATGCAACCAGAACTTGTTAAAGTAAATTTGTCATTTTTATTCAAATTAGTTTATAAAACTTTTTTAAAGTAAAATACTTCAAGGTTATTTATGAGTTTCATAATAAAATTTTTTTGGTAACCCAGAGGTTACTGGAAATGAAGGAAAATGTTGTCTGTCAAGGACATTTTTAATACTGCAGTTGAAAAGGAATGATTCAATAATTAAATTTTTTTTTCTAAATACTCATAATGAAGACCAGCATGCCAGGTTTTATTGAAATCTCTGATATATCAAGAGAAATAGCCCTTGTTCTACTGCATTTTATCTAGGGTGACCATTGTCACAGTTTTTATCTAGGAGAGCACAGCGCCAAACTAATTAAATTTAGTTTGGTACTGCACTCTCCTAGATAAAATGCTTTGCTCTCCTATGTAAAAACCGGGATAATGGTCACCCTAATTATATCTAATGCACAGTTAGACCTTTCTAGTTTTTCAGTATCAAATGTTTTCATGTTTAAATTGTACCTGTCCGAAGTCATCTTTATTCAATGTTTGTAGCGCAAATGGATTTACACATATTATCTTTATTAGGAAAAAAATTTCACATATTTTGTTTCTTAACTTAAATTTTTTTAATTAAGTTTATATTTTCCTAATTACTGTAATCCCTATTTCCTTTCTCATCGTTTTTATTCTTACAATAAAATTTGAATTTTTCTTAATCTTCTGCTAAAAATTTTATTAGGTATTTACTGATGGTGCAGAAATGGGTTCACGAATCCCATCGTGCGAACTAATCAGCTTGTCGCCATTAACTATGTCAGGCATGACATCTAAAGCTCAGTCAGTAAGTTAAATTCTTAATTATTGCTGTGTGTATTATGTTGATATTGCGTTAATATCATTTTAAATATGTTAATATGCTGCCATATTTAATTTCAATTTTTGAAGATTATAAAAAAAATGTTTTTATATACATTTGTTTGTTCACACAGGGTATTCAAACCCCAATTGAGCCAAATACTGGTGTTGTGCCAATAGCAGATTCATCATCTAAAAGAGTTAGTTTTTCATATCCAGGTTCTTCTTGTAGTGAAAAGGTAAGTTGTTTACTCAATTCACTTAAGTTATTAATATAATTTAATTATTTTTTTTCCAAAGCTTGATTTTGGAAATATGCTAAACACTTTTTATTTTTGAAATAAATGAAGGAGTTTTTTTTGCATACTTTTTAATTTTGAAATAAATGAAGGAATTTTTTTGCATACTTTTTAATTTTGAAATAAAGGAAGAAATTTCTTTTCACATTTTTTGCAAAGCTTGTTACTACTTGCTTTAAGTTAATTTCTTTTTGATAAAATGCCATATAAAACATATTTTTTGAATAACTTCTCTATTTTTTCACAAATAAAATAACAGCATTGTAACTTTAGATTAATATCTAGTTACTCTTCAACCAACTAAATCTTTGCTAATGACTAACTTGATTTGAGATGTAACAGGAGTGTATTGGAGATCAAAAATTAGAGATGTAAAGGGGGTGTTGGAATATTGAAAGTTAAAATTTTTTTTTTTTTGACTAATACCGTTTAAATTTTTTACAACATTTCTGTACACTCTTGATCTTGGGTTTAAACTAGTTTGAATCCAGTAGGCTTGAATCCAGTAGGCTTTCTATTTAATCTAAACATGTATTTCAATGGCAAAGAATATATGCAAAATTTGTATGTAAGCAATTTTGTGTACAAAGCTTTTGCAATTATAATATAACACTTTATAAAAAAAAAGATATTGTTTCTTAAATCTTATTTAAAGTATCATAAAATAGAAATTGAAGAAAATGTTGAACTTTTTTTTTATTTACTTAAGTTAAAGTTTTTGTTGAACAAGTCATGCATTTTGATAGCATCTTAAAGCATACAATTGTATATAAAAATGTTAATAAACATAATAAAAATTATCAGTAAAAAAAAAATGCAACGTATCTTAATTGGCACAAGAAAAGCATTTAAAATATCCCCATGTATTTCTTGCTACAAAACATGTTTGCATTGATTTAAAAAGAATGTTGTAAAATTTAGTTTGAACTCTTTTCCTAATGGTATCTAGTTCTTGCTTTAGACTATTTAAGGATTTTATTCAGACTGACTAATTCTGTATTCATTCAATCCCAGATAGATTTGATTGGATTTTTATCCGGCAATCAACCTGATCAGGGTAATGAATTTATGTTTTTCCTTTCATCCATGCTTTAAGCTGCATGGACAAATGTCATATCTTGTTGAAACTGCCACCATTCAATCAACATGTTTACTAATGGAACCATGCTGTCTCCCTATATATGTTTTTCATAGTTTGACCTGTATGAATACCTCCTCCGTTAAAATTCAAACAAATACTAACACTACTTCTTTTTCCTTACAACCTAGGTACAACAAATTGTTTACTATACTTTTCAGATATAAATTTTTTAACAAGAACTTAGCTTTTTTTAATTATTACTTCAAAGTTACTTTTGTCACTGAAAATTAATTTGCTTCCAATTTTTCAAAGACCGCCCAATTCTTTCCTTGCACCACTTTAATCTTGTGAGTTAATCTCCATTGGTCAGCATGAATTTTTAAAAACTGCATAAATACCAATGTTTTTTTTAAGTAACATATTTCTAACTGTATTTAACAAAAAATGTTTTTCATGGTTTTTGTTAAATGTGTTGATAAGTTCAAGATAACTTACCTTGAGTTGGTTTTTACTTAACAAAATATACGGCCATTTTTAGCCTTAATAGTTTTTTAAACCTTTTAGGTCTTGTATTGGATGTTTTCAAAAAACATCCAATGCAAATGACACAATTTTCTAAAAATTTTATTTTTCTTGTTATTTCTCTGATATTGATCATGAAGCCATCCTTCATACCTAGTATTTGCCACTTTGTTGCTTCACTCACTGCTTTTTGAGCTATTTCTTTGAAATAGTATAGAAATATTAAAAAAAAATTTAAATATGACTAAACTGGCCATCATAAGCAATTTTTTTGCAACCTTTTTATAGGAAATTATCTGGATCAAATCAGACTAAAATATAAATTAATAAGATAAAATTAGAATAATAGTTGGGTTGATAAGAGAGAAGAACAGAAATCAATTAAAAAGTTTTTTTTCTGCAACTTTTCGCGGTCTGTTTTGCATTTCATTAATATAACTAAATTAATATAAAAACATAAAGTAAACATGTTTTAGTTATCATCTCATGCAAAATAAATTTGTGTATATATATATATATATATATATATATATATATATATATATATATATATATATATATATATATATATATATATATATATATATATATATATATAATCTTTTTGTTTTTTTAATTTTTTGTTCCTCTTTTTCAAATTAATATTAATATATAAATAAATTTACTGAGCTATGAAACTTTATTTACATTACTTTTAATATTAAATTTTTTATTTGGCTGAAGAGTTATGAGTCAAGTGGAAGTAGTACAACAGAAAAGATTATTGCACAAGCTAAAAGCATCTCTCCCTCATTGCCTTCGTTATCTGTTGAACAGCCTGCTAGTGACACCACTAAGGTTGAAAAAGTTTTTAAAATAGAATAATTAAAAGTCTTATTGAAAATCAAAAATAACAGAAAAATTATTATTAATTTAATACTTTTAAAGGATTTTTCGTATATTCCTCAATCAGAACTTGGATCACGTATTCCTTCATGCGAACGAATACCACTTTCCCCTTTATGTCAGTCTGCTGCCCCTTCAGTAAGCATTTTTTTAATGATTTTTTTTTAAATGTGTTTCATTCTTCAAACTCTTGTTATGTTTATATTTCAACAGGGATGTCAGACCCCTGCAAATATGGAACCAAAAGAACCTAGTGCTGAAGTTAAATATCGATCAAAGAAGCCAATGTCAAAGTTAGAGGAAGTGATAAACAAAATGAACTTAGCTTCAAGTTCAGCACCTCCACGTTTGGATACTTATGAGGAAGATTCTGTCAAGGTTAAAATTAAAATTAAAAAATTATTTCTTTAAGTGAACAAATAAACCTAAGGCCTAGTTTACAGTTCAGAATTAATTTTTCAACTGCTTTAAAACTGTCATATAATTCTTTAATTGTTTTACTACTCCCTTTACATATGGATGTCTAACACATATCTTTTTTTACTAAATATTTTCATACTAAACAAAATAAGTAATGTAACACAGTTTGAAAATATGTTAATAATCTAGGGTTAAAAATAGGAAAAGAAGGTTTAGAAAAATTTAGGTTTACTATTACAAAAATCTAGTTTAAAAATATCTTTAGGGAGGTGAATTAACATTTAAAAAAAACTTCTATTCAAAATAATAATTGTATAACTTAATTATGCAACTTATATAATTATATGCTATTTTAGAATTTTGGGAGTTCAGAGCATTCATCCAGAATGCAATCTCGTGAAAATTTATATTTTACACCTCCTTGGTCTTCAAGTACTTCAGTATGTACCTAGTGTCATAGATTTTTTTTGGTTCTTTTTAACAAAATAAATGGGTTATTTACTGTTCAGTTGGTTTTTTTAGGGTATGGTATCTCCTTGTTCTGGTTTTAATAGCAGGTTGAAACCTTTGATTCATCCCCCTTCCATTCAGGAAAGAGTTGAATCTGAGGTTGACAAGAGCAAGGTTGATATTTTAGTAAGCAAAATACTTTAATATAAATAGCTATAAAATTTTCTTTTGAAGATTTTTTTTGTATTAAATTTGGTTTGTTTGTTTTCCAGCCTAACAGTGTCAAGATGACAAATTATCATTCTGTTTCGTTCAAACAACCCCCTCAGGTTAATAATTACCCATTACGACACGATTCTTGGTCTTCTGAAGAATCTATTAGTTCTAATCATACTGATATTTCTACCGTTGTAAATGCACCTACTTCTATGCATAATACAGCTCCAGCATCACCAATCCCTGATGGTTCTGAAGAATCAGATATTTCCTCAGAAGCTGATGACCTTTCAGAAGCATACAATCAAAGAGTTTCTCCAACACAACATACCACAAATTTTAAAAAGGTTGATCATAATAGTTTTCAAAGTAACAATACTTCTTTCTGGCATCAACAAAATAATAATACTACCAATTTTCCTCCAAATAATCATGGTCCGATCAATCGTCATCTTGCCTCTTCTGACCCGCAACAAGTCAAATACAATAATTATAATAGTTCAGTACCATTAAAAAGTTCTCAATCTAACCAAGGTTATTATAACAGCCAACAGCCACCTCACCATGAATTTTCTAATCAATTTCAAAACCATCAATCTGTTAGTTATCCACGTACTTTAGTTTATCCTCAGCATGCAAGACAACACAATGTAGTGGGATCATATATTGCCCAACCACCAAACCCTCTTTACAAACCGAATCCGATTCCACATAGTAATGTAAATGTTTTATTTAATCCTTCTGAACAATTAAATTCTCAACGTCGTGATTTTGCTGACTATCCACATGACTCTGAGCAACAGCTGACATATCCTGTACATAGATCAGTAGGCTATCATACTAGAATGCAAACTATACATGAAGGTCATTTAAATCCATCATATCCTTATACTCCAAAACATCCCAATGAAAATTTCAGGACATACCCTTTTTTCCATAATTCTAAAGATTTTGTACCAAGCAATGTTTTATACAACAAAGTGCAAGGACAGCCTTTACATTCATTGCAGCAGTCGCAAGAGGTAGGCTATATATACCATTTTAAATTTATTTAAAAATTTTATTATTAAATTATATATATACCATTTTAAATTTATTTAAAAATTTTATTATCAAATTATATACCATTTTAAATTTATTAAAAAAATTTTATTGAGTGATTTAGTGCAGTTTTTTATTATTAAAACTTTTTAATTTTTTTTTTTTGCTTTAGGTACGGAAAGAAAGAGCATACAGTGTAACTAGTCTAGAACCAAATCATGACTCGCCACCTCAATCAGATGGCCTTGACACAATAAGTTTAGTAAGCTTTGCTAGTCAAGGTGCATCTAATCAAAACTTAGATACTAAAACCGATATGATGTCATCTTTGATAAGTATGCTTGGAACACATGATCCCGATGATATGGCACGTACACTTTTGGCAATGTCAAGTAGCCCAGATTCTTGTACTGCTATGCGCCAAAGTGGTTGTGTACCACTTCTACTAAATTTACTGCATAAGCGTGATCATCATCAAGCAATTAATTGGGGTGCAAGACAAAGGGCTGGTATGTATATTTTGAAAAACCAGTCTTTTTTTAACAGGGTTGTGGAGTTAAGTTTCTGCTCGAGTCAGTTAAAATAAATTGGAAGCTTTGAGTCAAAATTAAAAAAGATAAATTATAAGCAATATTTTGAATTTTGATTGACCCTTAGCATATTTTTTAATTCAACAACTCTGGTTTACATAATTTGATAAAAATTTCATTACAATGAGTATTGTATCGGATTTCTTTGTTTTTAGCACTTGCTTTGCACAATATTATTCATTCAAATAGTGATGATAGACGCGGAAAACGTGAAATACGAGTATTGCGTTTGCTGGAAATCATCAGATCTCACAGTGAAGCTATACTTTCAAAAGGAGATCAAAATTATCGTCCCAACTTACTTGCAATTCCTATGGGTGATCATGGTCCTGGACCTGCTGTAGCTGCAATAATGAAGTTGTCATTTGAAGAAGAACATAAAAATACAATATGTGAGTTAGGTGGATTGCAAGTAATTGGTGAAATATTGGCTGTTGATTACATGGCAAACAGTAGATGCAAAGATCCTTATTCAATTGCTCTCCGCAAGTATGCAGGAATGGTTTTAATAAATCTCACATACAATGATTCTGGAAACAAAGCTATTCTCTCTACTTTGCCCAACACAATTAAAGCTATTATTTCACAATTACAATTTACAGATGAAGAGGATTTGGTCCAAGTGTTTGCTGGCATTATAAGAAATGTTTCTTGGAGACCTGATAAAAATACTCAACAAGCTCTGCAGGCAGCAAATGCTGTTCGTGGTTTAATGATAAGTATTCAAAAGCTTCGATCAGAAGTTTGCATTCGTGCTGTTTTAAGTGCAGTTTGGAATCTTTCAGCTCATAGTTCTGAAAACAAAGAAGAAATTTGTCGTACCCCTGGATCATTAGCATTTCTTGTCTACGCTCTTAATTACTGTTCACCCACTAAAAACTTATCAATTATTGAAAATGCTGGTGGAATATTAAGAAACATATCTTCTCATATTGCAGTTAGTAATGAATATAGATCAATATTGCGACAAGGAAAATGCATGCAGACTCTTGTGTTTCAGCTTCGTTCAACAAATACACGAATAGTATCAAATTCTGCTGGGATCTTATGGAACTTATCAGCTAGATGTGCAGAAGATCAGGAATTACTATGGGAGCTTGGGGCTGTTTCAGTTTTAAAGAATCTAGTTAATTCTAAACACAGTTCAATATCTGCAAGCTCAGCTGCTGCGTTGAGAAATCTCTTAGCAGTGAAGCCAGGCAGCAGTACCGATACAGAATCTCTTGCATCTACTCAACACAATCGTACTAACAGCTTGCCAACAAGGAATCGCCCAAATTTTTCATTAGACCCAAAATATAAATCTTTAAACATCTCTAAGGAAAAAAAGTCTATATTTAGCAAATTTCAAAAACATGCTAACACTGGGGCTTATCAAGAATCAATTACATCAGATGAAAGTTCATTAGTTTACACACCTTTTCCTGTTTCAATCAGCAAATTAGTAAAACACAGTAATTTTAATTCCAACTTAGTTCAAAGTCCAACAAAAAGTGATGTGAAAATGGATGTTCTTGATGAAAAAATAAGTGTTTGGATGAAAAAATGCACATTGAAAAAAGAAGATATATATCAGGACTGCAAACTTTCAGTTACAAAAGATTCGGTTCTTTTACACCATTCTACAACAAAAAGTGTTTTAAAAAATGATCAAAAGAAAAAAGAAAAACTTCCAAAGGTGCAAAGGTTTAGTCGTAAAAACAAAAAACTACCTATAAAGTCTTCTGTTGATTCCTTAACTTCAAGGGAACCATCCTTGGATTTTGATAGAGGGAATGATAAAAATGTGTGGGTTAAGTCCTTAAAGCAGAAATTGTTTAAAAAATCTTTCTCTTCTGACCTAGACTCAACTGAATTAAAACATCTGTAATCTTTTTAAACATTGTATATATTGTTTGATTTGATTTTTTTTTTTTTTTTTTACATACAAGTTTATTATATTTTGACTTTTATAATCTTTTTATAGATTTTTTTATCAACTTGCAAACTTTAGCAATACATTTTTTTTAAAATAACTACATTTAAAAAAAACTTTTTCAATTGATATATTTATATTTTTTTGTCAAGTGTTTCATAAAAAATATTAAAATTTTTTTTTCCCTCTATAACGCATCTTTAATGTAATTTTTATTTGTTTATACTTTTTAGTTTTTTTAACTTTTGTTTTATTTTGTCTATTGACTTGAATCACCTGGGCAAATAAAAATGTCATTTCTATGTGATATATATATATATATATATATATATATATATATATATATATATATATATATATATATATATATATATATAATAGCATTAAATTATCAAATTAATATTTTTATTAAATTTTCCTCATTATAATTCTAATAAAATTCTGTTATGGTATAGTATTTATAATGATAAAATTTTTATTGGTTGTAAATAAGCAAGGACAAACAAGAGTTTCAAAATATTATTGTAATGAATTTTTAAAAGAAAAAAGACCATTGTTTGAAGCTGAGATTGTTCGAAAGTGTTTTTCTAGAGCTCAACATCAGGTATTGTTATGATTATATATGTAAATCAGTTAATTTAATCCTGTTTGAAATAAATTTGTTTTATTATATTTATTTAGTGCTCATTTATTGAATATCATAACTTCAAAGTGGTGTACAGAAGATATGCATCATTATTTTTTCTGATAGGAATAGATGATCAAGAGGTACAAATTTTAATAAATATGTTATTTATAAGAGAGATTTAGTTCACTTTGCTGAACTTAGACTAAGTCTTTGGTATTACAGGAAGAATGATATTTCAAACTTAGGGTTAATTCTTAGAATTAACTCAAAGTCATTAATTTTATTCTATATATACCACTAATTCTATTCTATATATAGGTACACATGCATACATACATACATACATACATACATACATACATACATACATACATACATACATACATACATACATACATACATACATACATACATATTTACCTACATTAGGGGTGTATATTCAAAACGTGAACACACAATAAGCCAAATTTGGGGCAAACATAAAAAAAATACAATTAAAAAAAAAAAAATTCAAAAATATTGACATTTACCTTGTGCTCAAGCGACAAAATACCCGAGTGATGAAACTACTAAAAGAGTACAATCTTGAATCAAAGATTGGATTACTTTGCTTTGATACAACATCAAGCAATACAGGTATACATAAACGATCTCTAGTAAGAATATCTACTGCGCTAAATAAGTATCTAATTCTCTTAGCTTGCAGACATTATGTTTCTGAGTTGAGAATCACACACTTCTGTGAAGTTGTAACAAATGAAAAAACTAAGGCGCCTGATAATCTTCTGTTTAAACAATTCAAAAACATGTTTGAACAGCCTAATTTCAAGTATAAACCATCTTTGCTAGTTAAATTTTCTTGGGATGAAGTTAAAGGAACTGTTGTTGAAAAAGCTGCAATAGAATCTCTTTACTATTGTAGGTTTTACTTATCAAGAAATGATATTGCAAGGGAAGATAGAAAAGAGCTAGCAGAGCTAGTGGTCAGCTGTCTCTCTGCTTCTAACATTAAAATTAAAAAGACTGGAGCTATTCACCATGCAAGATTTTTAGGGAAATCTATATACTATTTAAAAATGCAAATTCTTTCAAATCAGATTGATTTTCTTCTAAAAAGTAAAGAACATATTAAAATAATAACAGAATTTATAGCTTGCTTTTATGCAAAGTTGTATCTGCAATCAAATGATACAATCAAAGCTCCTTACATGGATGTTACTGCCATTCATCAAATGCATCAATATAAAACAGTATGTGCAGAACCAGATGCCGTAAATGCTGTGTTGAATTCTTTATTCAAACTTACATGGTATCTAGATTCAACTCTGATTCCTTTAGCTTTGCTGGATGATGACATTACACTTGTAGAGAAGAAAAAAATTGCTGCTGCAATATTATCATATCCAAAACCAATGCCATGCTATTTTAAAATGAAAAATAAACAGAACAAAGAAATAAAAAAAATGTTAACACTTAAACTAGACATTCATCAGCAGCCTCCTAGCTTAGCTCCTTTGGTTGACGAATTTATTAAGTATTAACACATGCAATCATCGTTTAGATTATTTCTAAAATTTGCAAAAAGTATTGTTTGTGTAAATGACCATGCCGAGAGGGCTATTGGAATGATACAACAATTTGTTCACCGCTACAGAGATAAGGAAGAAAAACAAAATAGACTTATTACTGTAGACAAAGTTCGTTCAATTCTCAAGGCATCAGACAGCGAATCGTTATCAACCAATAAAATAAATAAGCAAGTATTAAGCAAGAAAAGAATCACAGTTGGATTACTCAACATACGCTCCAAAATACAGAAAATAAATTGAAACAAGTTACAAAAAATTAAAAAAGTTTGTATCATTCAATCAACTTTTATTTTATTCTCAAAAGATTAATTAAAATTAAATTAAATTTCTTTTTGAGAGGTTGAACAATGTGATTATATATAAGTCATATAAATGCAGAATTATTATGCATTATTTTGTTAAAAGCGCGTTAAAACTTTTTTTGTGTGTATTTTTTTGCGTTAAATATAAAAAAGCGTGTTAAATCTTTTTTTTATTTAAGCAACAATTATGAAAAAACCAGTATACACAACAAACTTAAAAAAAAGTTTGGACCATTATGAGCAAAATATTTTTAAAAAATTACAAAATATTGAGGTTTACCTAGCGCTCAAAGTCAAATTACTTGGGAACTATTTGGGGCATTTTTCGGGGTATTTTGCCGCTTGAGCACAAGGTTAATGTGAAATTTTTTTTTTGAATTTTTTTTTTTAATCGTATTTTTTTTATGTTGGCCCCAAATTTGGCTTATTGTATATTCGCGTTATGAAATTTTTTTTTTTGAACAACCCTAACCTATATACATATGTACCTACATACATATGTACCTACATACATAAATGTATATAAATTTGTTTATTAAATACAAAATTTGGTTTAAAACTTGTTACAAGTTTACAATTTGTAACGTTAATGTTACAAGGATATATACATAACAAGCGTCATTTATTGCGTCATGAAAAAATTCTTTAGACGAACAATGTTTTCACACAAGCTATATATTTATTTATTAACAACATTTATTTGATAAGAAATTTGACAAAGAGCTATAAAAGCTTTTAAAAAATGTTTATATTTTCTTATTGTTATAGAACACGGGTATTTTAAGAATTAAAACAATTAAAACAACAATTAAACATTCCACAATAAAAGTAAAGAATATGTTAAAGTAATTAATACCGTAAAAATCCCTAATTCTGAACAAAATCGCACCTAAAGTTAAATAACTCCACGTGTTTTTTGAATTTCAACATAATTTTTTAAAATAAATAAACTGGAACCTAAACTGAATCAAACTATGACAAGCAACAAGTATACTTATAATGAAAATGTTTTTACTTTTTAATTTTGAAGAGAGAAGTTTTCGTTCTGAGTTAGGGACACGTGTTCCTAATTCTAAACGCACATACCAAATCCCAAAAAATGGCATATAATTGATAATAGTAAATAATTTATTCTTGCATAGACCTCTAGCTTAGAGTTAAGTTGAAGATTTTAAAATTTAAACTAATTTTATATTTTAATATAAGGGTATAACATCATTGGTACAGAGTGTGCATTATATATTTATTAGATCATGTTGTTGGTTCCCTATGATTATTTAGATTTTACTTGATTTATGCTTCATAGCTTTTTTTTATTTACAGAGCATGCCATGCTTTCTTTAAATTTTAATTAAACAAGAATAGGAGAGACAAATAAATGGGTTAGCGAGTATATCAGAGTTCTCCACGTGAGAGACGCAACACCTGCCTTCCATTATTTTTTTGTAATCAGTTGAAAAACCATAAATAATGTCGCAGCAATAGTGATTATTTGGAGGTGGCAACCTTAGCTGTACTGAACAAATATGATATTTTTTTTATTTAAATGACAAAGTTGTAGTAGGGTAGGGTGGGGTAATGTGGGTCTATGAGGTAATCTGGGGCTAATTCTTATTTATCTGTTATATTAATAATGTCTTTAGGTATAAAGTTGTAATTTTTATCACTTTGTTATAACATATTAGGCTAACTAATTTTAAAATATAACTTAGCTTTGTTATGTAGCTAGCAAAAATGCTAGATACATAAACAAAGTCATTTTTTACTCCGTTTTCATACTTTAGAGAAAATATACTCAAATAAGGCAAAAGCGTATGAAAAATGGTTATTTTGAAAGTTAAATTACTATATTTAGAGGATAGTATATCTTTAAGACATTAACACACATGGTTTGTTTAAAATTTGAAATATAATCAGGTGGGGTAAAGTGGGTCTATGTGTGTAAAATATTATGATATGTAATTATATTTTCAAAGTTGTTGTTAGTAACATTATAAACCTATTAGTTTCATCAGACCTAACTATTTTCGTGTTAATAATTCTTTAGAACTATTAAACACTTATGTTTGAAGTTTATATCTTTGAAATTTATATTAAGAAACATGTGTATTTATTTGTATGAAACAATATATTGACCTAGGTCAAATAAAATATTATATAAGACCTATTTGATGTTAAAATATTTTTTTTGTGATATGTTATGATTAATGCTAATTTATTTCTTTAAAAATTTAACAGATTCTTCACAAATATTACTTTAGAAAGTATTTTAAAAATGCCAAGATGTTAAAAAAATAAAACCCAAGTACAATGCTGATAGTTTTGAAAAGAGCAATATTGTTAATATGTGAAGAAAAAAAGTACTATTTATCATGCTGCTAAAGAATGATCCATTCCTAAAGAAACATTGAGACAAAGAATAAAAAAACAAAGAATTAATGAAAACAAACGTGAAGGTCGAAAAAGTGTGCTGAGTGATAATGATGAAACTATGATCAGTATTGTCAAAGAAATGGTCTTCCATTAGATCCTTTGACATTTGTAATTTAGTTGCTCAATATTGCACAGCCAGGAGGATGAAAATTCCTTTTAAAAATGTAATTTCTGGAAAAGATTGGATAATTTGTTTTAGGAAGCGTCATGTTGATAAACTTTGATAATGTAAACCTGAAATAATTACATTTTCAATACAACCTTGATGAGACAGGGTTCTCCACAAATCACTTAACGAAGAGAGTATTTGTTCATCTAAGCCCAGTGAGCACTGATTTGTTAATATCAAAAGGTGCTTGTTTAACGACATTTTTGATGATATCTAATTCTTTGGGCAATACTTAATTTGTTGAAAGTTTATTTATAGAGTTTTTTTGAAATTATTCTATCAGTCTTATGAAGTTAAACTTGTTTTTCAAATGTTTTGAAATTGTTTTTCGCATAAACAAATGTTTTTCGCATATTTTCACATGAAACTATTTTACCACTTTTTAGTAGGTTTACCAGTCTTGAACAAATGAGTTTGTCTTTGAACAAATGAGTTTAGATTCCTTTAAATAGTTTTGGATTACAGTTAAATTATCATTTGTCTTTAAGCTGAAGCCAACGTCACTCATAAACTGTAAAATTTCAACTATAAACCTTTCCGTTACTTATTGCTTATGGCTTATTGCTCTTGGCCTACCAACACCAGCAGCTCCATTTATTCCTTTCAATCTGCAAAAAAATAGTTGTTTTAGCAATGTTATAACATAAAGTTGCTTCTGAAAATGATATCTTTTTACTATCAATAGCTTCAATACGAAGTTTATTTTTTTGTTTGTGATCTTCATTATTTTTTAACTTTTGGCTTTTTTTTTATTAACAAATGTTACAAGAAGTTTAGAAATTCATGAAAAAAAAATTTTTTCATGAATTTCTAAACTTTTAAACTTTTAAGTTATGCAAAAAAGTACTGTTTTTTTAAAATCTTACGCAGTATTGCTAATTTTTATTTTTTTTTCAGATTAATAATTACCATCAAATTCTACATTGAACAGCAAGCAATTTTATTTGCTTTTTTTTTTAAGTTGGTTTTATTTTGTTGGTTTTTCAGGGTTTTAAAAAGTGTTTTACTTGCAATTTAAAAATTTCATGGTTTTATATATTTTTAAAATATTTTTACATATTCTTATTACCCTTGAGTGTAATATTTTTATATTTATCAGTTAATTCAATCTAATCAAAAAAGTTTGCATTTCAATCGAGGTTCTATTTTAATTTTTTTTTTGTAACAACCATACCTTTTAAAAAGCAATGCAATTAATTATATAAATAATTTTGTTTATAAAAACTTTTTATTTTCTATTTTAGTTACAATAATAATTATACTTTTGCTCCAGTAAACCATTTTAAGGGAGTGTGGGCGAGAGTGAGAGCTAAAGCTCTTGCTTCCCGCTGAGGCCTGTATATATATATATGTACATACATACATACATTTTTATATAAAAATTTCAAAAATAATATTGATTTTATAAAAAAACATCATTAAAAAAATTATAATCAAAAAATCTTGTTAAATTCCTTACTTTTCGTTTTTAGTTAAAAAACATAATTTTCTGTTCACTAGAATCTAAAATAAAAGAAAAAGAAAAAGCTTTTGAAAAGCTTTTTTTTAAGTAGTATTAGGGACCTATTTAATGTTCGAGGGTCGGTAGCAACCCTTTTAAATATTTTTTATTCAAAAAATTTTTAAATCCAGCATTTTTTTATTATACATAACATGTTCAGAGGGTGCCAGCAGTCATTTTCAAAACAAGTTGTTTTTAAAACGCTCTAACATACATACAAAAATACATACATACATACAACATTAGGGTAGGCCAAAAACAAAAAAATATAAAAATTTTACAAATCAATAAAAAAATATGATCCTTTTCACATATGAAAACAAACTGTTAAAAAAATTGGAAAAAAGCATTATTAAGTGCTGCCGAATTTTATTTGATTATTGTGATTTTTAGCCTAAAATATGTAAAAAATATATATTTGTACAAAAGTAAAAACAATTAGGATTTGTATATCTATAGCAAATATTTGTCATTAGAGGCTGTTGAAATAATAAGCAACAGGTTTTTGAGCTTTTTTATACTTTCCCCATGTAAAATTTTGTGACATGTTTATCAGCGTCTCCTTTAATATCAAGGGACCTCTGTATAAGATTTTTTAAAAAATTTTTATTTTAGGTACCCCTAAGACCGTAGGTAATAACAGGTCTTAGGTACCCCTAAGACCTGTTATTAAACATATTGTACAAACAATATGTTTAATAACAACTTTTAGTTAATTGTTTAAAATACAATCTTCTACATCCGGTTGTCATGGACGCCCAGAGCCTTCACGCTGCTTGGGACAGGCAACCTCAATTGGAGCCCATATTTTTCAAAATACTTCTATATCATCATCAAAGGACCTTTTTTTTAACTTCTATTTTCTTTGGTACCTTTTAGACATCTACCACTTGGAATAAACTGTCCCTTTCACTGCCCCTACCATGTTTATACCTAACATATTGAGTACCACTTTTAAACAATAGTAACAACTATTGTTTTTTTAATTGTGATGCCGAAAAATATCAAATCTCACCACCACCACCACCGCCAAAAATTTGTGGAATTGTCACTGTAAACATTTAGTATAAATATTTGTAATCCTGTTCTTTCGAGTGAACAAAATATAAAATTAAAGTGAGCTTATGAAAAAAATTGAATACAAAAAATTAAATAAAAAACAGCCTCTATTTCCACATCCAATCTATTGACCATTTCCCTCCTCCCAAAATCTTTTCACATTTGATTATTTTTTTGGGATTTTTAAAAAGAAAACTGATAAATAAATTGTTAGACAAGGGTAATAAGAATATGTAAAAATATTTTAAAAATATATAAAACCATATTCGAGACATAATTTCAGAGTATTATCTTTTTGAAAAAAACTTTTATATCCTCTTATATATTTTTTAATCACTAAATATACTAATTTGTAGGAATTTTTTATGTATTAAATATTGTAATTTCAAATTACATAAACAGAAAATAAATATATTTAAAACTGATTTTATAAAATTCGTTTTATCTACTCTCCCTAACTATTTAAACCTCTCCTTGTTTTTAATGAAGTAGGTAAGAATAGGTTAACAAATAAGGTTTGTTAAAAAGTAAGCATATGATAAGAATAATATTAGTTATACTTAGCTTTTTAAGCACATTATTAAAATTCTAATTGCATTGGAAATTCATTAAATTGCAAAATAAATTTGATTAAGTATGGTAAAGTTTCCTATACATTATTTATATTATTATCTTGATATATTCTTACTAGATCTCAAGTTGTAAATTATTGTTTTTATTTTAATCTTGCAGTACTTATGTTATATAAATTTAAGAAAAGAAGGCATTTAGATTAAAATACAAGAATAATATAAATAAATATAACAAAAAAAATATAAGCTTAGACAATTAAAAACATAGTACACTAGTGTTGTTTACAATATTATATGCTTTCCGCGTTTTTTTACATTTTTTATTTGTTTACATAAAAAACAATGGAAATATGCCATTATTAGTAAGTATTATACTGAACAAATTAAAAAACTTAACAGATGTAATGAAAGTTTTGTGTTTTGGATCCATTCAAATTATTCAAACTAAAAATGAAATTTGGCAGAACTTAGATTGGAGCTACACAAACACTTTCATAACAAAAATGATTTTTATATTAAAAGCAACAATATTTTATGCAGCCACTAGTAAAATTGATTGTTTAAAAAATTTGTGTGGGACTGTGGCCTGCCCTAATACAACATATATAAATAAATGCATCACTAAATTATATTGTTGTTTTATCTGTTAATAGACATTTAACTTTTTGATTTTTTTTTTAGAATGAACTTGGAATTTTTGAATTTATCCATAATTTTGTGCAAGTTTTAGACAAATATTTACAAGAAAAATTTCAAAAAAGTGTTGTAAGTATTTTTTTTTGTACGAAATATTGTTTTCTACTTAATGTCGTGAATAAGAAAAAACCAAATTAAAATTAACTGCTATAATTAACCAGTATTAATAGATTTTTTTCCTTTTCAGAGTGAACTGGATGTATCTTTTTCTACTGGCACTATTTTATTAATGATCAGTTTAAGTATTTGATAAGAGATTT